CCCTTACAATATAGGGTACAGTACTCTGATTAGGTTCATTACTATGCTTAGGCAAAACATCAGACACTGGTAATGTAGCACTAATTTCCGCACTTGGTTCTAACATTATTCCTGAATTGGCCGCCTTATATTCTAACACTACACTTGTATCGGGCGAATTTATCATAGGACGTAAATTATCCGAGTGCACGAACTTGATATTATTATCTATTTGTACTAAATACGTACAAAAACTCAAAATTTTCACAATTTTCCCTTTCTGCCATACTTTGGTTTGTTTGTTCAACAAAAACATAATCATTTACTTTATACAATTTCAATTTCCTTTCTACATTTTTAGAAGCAAATTTTGATTTGTTACTATGGCTAGGTTTCAGTAAATCGAATCTGGTTCTTGGCTTAATTTTTAAAATACTCTCTGCTGGAGTAATACCGGTGACAGTGGTTGGAGTATTTCGATATGTGAATATGAAATTATGCAAGTTCGACAAAATTTTACTTTCCGAAATATTTTCTCCTTTCTGGGAAAATAACGCTTTTTCTAGTCCCTTTTTCAAAGTTTGTACACTCCGTTCTGCCAATCCATTGCTTTGATGATGATAAGGAGGGGATTTAATTGGATTAATACCGTTTGCCTGACAAAATGATACAAATTCAGACGAATTAAATGGGGGCCCATTATCAGTTACCAACTCAACTGGTAAACCAAAAATTGAAAAAACATCTTTTAATTTTGATATCGTTTCTAACGCATTAGTACCATTCTTCATTAATTTTACTTCTATCCATTTTGATTTTTCATCGACTAATATAAGGAATGTAAATTTATATTTAAAGAAAAAATCTACATGAACCCTATAAAAATTATGAGGAGCATTTGGCCATGGCAATAACGTGCTGGATTTTGTAAAATTCTGATTATATTGACATATATCACAAGATGATATAAATTTCTCTATGTCGACATTCATAGTAGGCCACCAACAGTACGAGCGATTGAGCATTTTAGATCGAACTATACCATTATGTTGTTCATGAAATAATTTTAAAACATCCGTTTGCAAGGCTTTTGGAATGATCACTTTGTTACCAATGAGAATACAATTTTGTTCTACGGATAACTCATTACGTCTCTTGAAAAATGGTTTAATATTTTCATCTGCAATAAACTTCGGCCATCCACTAATGGTAAAATCCTTAACTTTAATCAAGACTAGATCTTTATTCACTTCTTTAGAGATATCAGTACTATTTAGAGGAATTTTATCAACTAAATTGAACGAGTAAATGAAATCCGAAATGTCAGTTTTAGATTTACACGGTAATCTTGACAACCCATCTGCATTACTTATACTACTCCCTTTTTTATATTGAATGTCATATTGATAACCCGAAAGTGTAATTGCCCACCTTGTAATTCTAGCAGCAGCTGATGCTGGTATGCCTTTATTCTTACCAAAAATATATTGAAGTGGTTGATGGTCAGTAATTAAAATAAATTTACGACCATATAAAAATTTATGAAATTTTTTTACGGCAACCATTATGGCTAAAGCCTCCCTTTCCAGATTGCTGTATTTTTGCTCTGTGTCAGATAAGGTACTGGACATAAACATTACCGGCTTTTCTATACCATCGATTATATGGCTTAGAACGGCTCCGACCCCGTAAGAACTAGCATCACAAGTAACATAGATTGGAAGCCCTGGGTTATAATAAATTAATACACTATTTGATGTTACCAACTCCTTGCTTAATTGAAAAGCAGTATCACACTCTATTGACCAATCTTTAGTAACATTACTTCCTGATTTACATAGATCATACAAAAGTTTTAATTTTGATGAAAGCATAGGAATAAATTTCCCGTAATAATTCAATAGTCCTAAATACGATTTTAATTCAGTTAAAGTTTTTGGTTTCGGTGCGGCTTTAATTGCTTTAATTTTGTCTTCTGTTGGGTGAATGCCCTTTTCATCTATAAGGTGTCCTAAAAATTCAATTTGCTTATGAAAAAACTTACATTTTTGTTTATTTACTTTGACATTATACACTTCAAGTCTTTTTAGAACATCTCGTACATGTTCATAACACTCACGTAATGACGATCCAAACACAAGGATATCATCCATAACATTTAGTATTTTTTAGGCCAGCTAACATAGTATCCATAACCGCCTGAAATATACCTGGTGCTGAACTTATACCATACGTTAACCTAGTATATGCAAAAAGACCCAAATGTGTGTTAATAACTAGTAATTTTCCCTTTCCCCTTTCAAATCTAAAACCGTAAAAAACTTTTGACCACTAAGACAGGCAAATATATCTTCTGGAATTGGTAAAACACAGTGATTAGAGGAAAACACCTGATTTAATGTTTTTTTAAAATCCACACAAATGCGTAACTCGCTTGAATTCTTTTTTGGAACAACCACATAGGGCTGGCCCAATTACTAAAATTTACTTTACGTAATATTCCAGAGTTAACCATTTTTATTAATTCTAATTCAATTTTATCTTTCAATGCATAGGGCATATCATACGCTCTAACAAAGATAGGTTGTGCTCCCTCTTTTAATTTAAGTTCAATTTTAAATTTGTTTATGTAAGACTCAGGTTGATCTAAAAAGACACTTTTGAAATCATTTTTGATGTTTAATGTTAATTACGCAACAACTTGTTCTTTTTGTACTAGGCTTTCTATTTTTTTTTGTTCTGAATTGATTTTTCGCAACTCACATCTCGACCCACCTGTTCCGACTGCCACTGGCTTACCTGCTGAATTTCATTTGACTCTGTTTTTTTTTGAAAAATTAATGTGTCCCCTCCAGTCGGGACTCAGACGTTTTAACCAGTTTCGACCTATTAATGGTACAAACTTATACTTGGATTTAAGAACTACTAGTGGCAAACTTAAAAATACCTTATGGTTCACAACAACATCAGTTTCACCTATGATACCAACTTCTTGCCCTGTAAGGACTCTTAGATCATAATTTACATTGTAAAGGGTTAAATTTGATAAATATTTATTAAAATCGTCAATGTGCATTACCGTACGACATGCACCTGTGTCTATTTCAAAACAAATCTTCCTACCTTCCAGATCTAACACTGCCTTTTCTGCATCTTTTTTCATGGATCCTAGGACTGACAAAAATCCTAATACTAGTGAATCATCCTGACTGGACTCCTCACCTTCGACTTCCTCGACTGCATTGACATTTGGACTCTTACACACTCGACTGGTGTGACCTTTTTTCTTACATTTGAAGCATTTCCAACCCCTGTCCGGACAGTTATTCGGATCATGTTTCCTTAGACAACAGAAACAAGGTCTCCATTGGGTTCCTCCTTCTTTTGACTGACTGGACTTCGATTCATTCTTGAACACTTTCTTCTTTACAAACAATTTATCTAAATCTTCTGCGACTGACAACACATTGTTTTCGCCTCCCATAGACTTTATTTGACCTTCAGCTAATTCCATCGCAAGGGCTGTTTTATACGCACTTTCGAACGTAAGGTTGTCTTCTGATAATAGTTTTCGTTTGATAGCATACGACCGAACGCCACAAACCAATCTGTCCCTTAGGCACTCTGACAAGAATTGACCAAAACTACAATATTGCGAGAGGTTTTTTAATTTTGCTACAAACATTTTGATGTCTTCGTTTCCTTCTTGTATCGCATTGTAAAATTTGTACCTTTCTGCTATTACCAGCCTTTTTGGGGAATAGTGATCTAAGACTTTCTTTAACTCCACATACGTTCTCGTACTCGGTAAATCAGGGGCTAGGAGATCTTTTAGAACATTGTAAGCCTCTCCCCCCAATAATGTTAACAGCATTGCTACCTTTTTATCTGCCTCGACTGCATTGCAAATAAATAATTGTTCCAATCTTTCCAAATATGACGTTATATCAGTTTCTTTTGGGTTGAACTTTTCGATAGACCCTATCATTGCCATTTTGTTTCACTCACAGACCTCAACTACTTGACTTGTTTCTAATACTCGACACGTGGAATTCGATTTTCTCGTCGCCAATTTACTGTTATGTATTGACTAATATAACAGACTCTGTTTTGTATTAAGACTTTTATTTGACCATTAATTTTAATGATAACATGAAATACAATTAGACGGTGTGACTGTGGCGTGACTGACTCGACTCAATGTTCACAACCACTGACCCATTGCTGCCAACCCATTTCACTGAACCACAGTCCACTGAGCTAACATAACAGTTTACAAAAAGCTCCTTTAGCACGGTAGTCAACTGATTTTACACTTAACTCTTGTCACTCCGGTTCCCAATAACCATGCCGAACGCTACATATAGAAAAGAAGTTTTGTGTGTAGACGTCTACTTACTTTGAACTTGGGCTAGTCAACTGGTAGGCTACTTAGTGGTACCAGTTAGTTATACCATTAACTATACCAATGTAAACGCTGCTTAACAGTTTAGACGCTATCTAGCCTCATTTAGAGAGCTGAAATTGTGATTTTTTTTTCAAAAACAACTATCTCGAAAACGATAAGTTTTAAACACCATGTACATTTAATAAACTCTACCTAATATTAACCAAGGAATTCAAAAACGCAATATACAGCGCATTCCATTTAAAATAATAAAGTTATGTAGCGCCCACGTGAAATGCAACACTCTGCAAAGCTAAAAATATTTTCTTTACATGGCCCACATGATTCCAGACAACTTTTCTTAAAAACATTTTTTTTATAAATTTTACAGTTGCAGAGTTACAGAAAAATCCCTCTTAGGTGGAAGACCCTGTATAAATTTACAAATAAAACAATTGTATATTTATTATGCATGCTTTATTATTAGTAGGTACATTAAATAATAGTTTATATACATTTGACTACAAAGAAGAGCATTTAATAAAATTATACAACTAAACATATTTATAAATAAATGGTCTCACTATAAATAGTCTATTTAAAAAACAAACACTGGAAATAATTAAATATCAGATAACGATAAAGTTAATAATATTGTATTTATGTTGTTTTTAAAGACAAATTTAAATTTCATAAATATTTCTACATGTCCATCACAAAATACATTTGTGATAACTTTTAAGAAAATCAATATGGGGAAATAGATATACAGAAATAGAAAAGATATTTTGTTTGTTTAGGCCAAATTAGATGAATGCGTATAATTATAGAGATATTACTATGTATTAAGAAACAATATTTGGAATATTAAATTATTCGAGAATTTGTTGATGGAAAAATGAAAATTTATTCATTAAAACGTAAATTATAATTTAAATTTTATTTACAAAATATGTTTATAAATAAAATTGTTAATAATAACAAATATGTAGATAATTTTAGATGTTAACTGAATTCAACTCTAAGATGCACTTGCCCTTAAACTTCTAAATTTATTTAATAGAGTTTAGATTAATAATAAAACTTGTTAATTTTATTTATCATTATTTTTACTAGTACCTTTATGAACAAGACATAAAATTGAATCAATATTACAAATTTTATTTCAAGTCATTGAACTACTTTGCTTTCTACACTGTTCAAACTCAATTTATAATTATATTTGACATTTTAGTAGTATAATCATATATTCTCTAATAATCACTGTGCTTCATTAATAATATATAACAAAAATTCTAGAAAGAAATAAAAAAATAGTAAAAGAACAGCTGTTAATCAGGAAATCACAGCGCTTATCAATAAATATAAGACCATAAATACGAGTGGTGCAACATAGAAAAAATATTTATTATAAGAACGATTGCAGATCATATTATATTTTTCAGTCATCATTAATAAATCACGTTGCAGTTTAACTTTTTCCTCACTAACTTGTGCAAATCGTTCTTTTAAAAGGACTAGTTCTTCTTCTAAATTTATTAGTTGATCATATGTGACAATATTATTTGATACGGTTGATATATCTAAAGTATTTTGTTCAATTTTATGTTTTTTTACATTATAATTAACTTCCTTCAATTTTTCTTGAGCCGTTTCTAAATCTTTTATCAAGTGCATAATTTTATCTTTATACTGCTGATTTTCATTACAACTTTCTTTCCATTGTTGTCGTAAAAGGATCAGTTTTTGTTTTAGATCTTCATTTTCAATTAGTTTCTGATGAGAAAAATTTTTTTCTTCATGTAAAGCCTTGTCTAGTTCAGCAATTTTTTGTTTGTTTCCATTTGAAATTGATTCTAGTAATTCGATTTTCTTCCTTAGTTCATTTTGGGCTGACTGAAATTGGTATTTTAAAGTTTTGGAATCGACATGTTCAGAACCATAGATGTCTTTCTCATAATAATCCATACAATTTTCGGAAACATCCTCAAGCTCATTAATGTCCTAAAAAAATATGACAACTATGGTGAAAATATAAATTATACATGTATAAGGTTTTACAATTTTTTCCCAATGTATGTAAATATCATTATACATGATGTTTCAGAAGAGCGTACAATTAATTATAGTGGTACCAGTACCAGTATGACTACCAGAACGTAAGATAATTTTGTTATATTACGTATATTTTTAAATTTTTTCTAAATCAATTTTGCCAATATTTCTAAAGATAATCGATATATCATATTGAAATATAGGTTTATGTTTTGAGAATCCCAATATAGCCTGGCTTGTTTTTAATTGAATTATACCAGATGTTTATTGCAACCCATGGTTATTTTTTGCAACCCATGGTGATGTTAGGATTTTGAGGCCCTCGGTACAATTTTCTTAATTTTCTTTTTAATTTTAGATAAAAAACGTACTCTTGTTAATATTTGCTAGAACACTTTGTTTTTAAGAAAATGTGCAAATATTGGAGGCAAGTCCACCAAGTAATACTATGTTTAACTTTAAGACGATTTTTTGTTCAAGTAGATGGTTTATTTATTATTACTAACAAAATAAAATATATTTTCATTATTCAGTTAATGCAGAAAATATACAAAATACCGTTTGCAGTTCTGTGAAGAAATTCTCCAAATTTTTGGTGGGTACCCAATTTGTTTTTCCCAAGAATGTACGTTTCAACTGGATGGTCAGTCAATTGCCATAATTGCCGATACTGGAGTGATGAAAATCTACGCATTTTTCATGAAACTCATACGCAGCATCCAAGGAAATTGAATGTTTGGGCGGGCATACTGGGATACCACCTCATAGGGTTTCTTCCTACAGGTCAATCTGAATGGAAACAAACATGTATCTGAATCTACTGGAAACGAATATCTACACGATGGTTGTAGAAGTATTGCAAAATGACGAGCTTTGCCAGAAGAATATGTGGTTTCAGCAGGATGGTGCTCCACACCACATTATGCCGTAGCTGTGCATGATTTTCATAGCTTTCCAAATACGATGCAGAGGTTCACTTGAGTGGCCTCCCAGATCGCCAGATCTAATGCCCTAATTTTTTTTCTATGGGGACACTGAAAGTCAAAAACGACCCCGCACAAAACCAATGGAAAAAGACTTTTCGTCAAATTGCTTGAAATTGTGGGATCAAATAGGTGAAATGATGTAGATCAAAAGTCCCCATGGGCCCGACCACCACTATGCACGGTTTCGCAGATACGTAAGCTGAAAGTCACTCAATATAGCCAAATCTGCACTTAGCGTTACCCAGGATTAACGCCGTGGACGTGGCAGACACTTGACACCATGTGTGTGTACGTGCATGTGAGTGTGTGTGTAAATGTGTATGTATGTGTGTACATATAATCAAAAATCGATGTACTCAGCGATCCTCACACTCAACAAAGATGACCTGGTTCTCCGAGAATTATTAGGAATACTTCCATCAACAATTGCCATCAAGAGGATTTATTATCTCAATGTTTTGAATTTGATTATTCATCCTGAAATCGAGTATACTCATTAGAACTCGGAGTGAAGGATATTTAACTTTATCTTCATGTCTTGCATACCCTAAGTATCTTGTAGTAGCCGCTACCTGGGCGCATTTTCCTAAAGTTTTTGCTCCTTGTTTACAGGTATAGAAGTAACCAAGAATGGGTTCATCTTCATTCTCAGGTTCAGGATGATTTACATACTCTTCATTAAATGAGATCCATAATTGATGAATCGTGGCAAATCTGAATCGAAAAAACAGCCTAATCCTCATGAAACCTGGTTCATTTGTATTTTAATCCAAGTAAAAAGTGCATTCTTCATCTTCTTACTCATCATGATCAATTCTGCCAGCTGTTAATTCAACCTATTGTGCTCTTCGGCGCACCAGGTTCTCTATTTTTACTCTTGCCTGAATAATGTTAACTTCTTGTACTTGAATCAGCATTCTATCAGCTAGATTTTCATCTGTGCTTACCATTGTGATGGTTCTGATATATGTATTTATTTATTATAGCTCTGGCAATTAAAAGAAAATCACTCAAATTCGGGATATGTGTAAAAAAAAAACTTGAATATTCTTTGGAGATGTCCGTTTCGAACCTCTACTATCCATCTTGTTTTGGTTATTAGTCTTGACTCATTTGCCTCTTCAGTTGAGAATTGAGTCTAATTTGGCTGTAGTAGTGGTGTCATTTTCGTATTCAAACCAATTCTCTGGAAGGTAGGAATAGCATCTCGATATCCACGATCTACAATGCATATATCTTGTTGTCGAAAACAGTCTCGCATTCCATTAACATCTCTATTAAACTTGTTCAGGAGAATTTTGGCATTGTTGTTAGCAGAGTTTGAAAAATAAATACCTTGAATGTAATATATAGCCATCAGAAGTAACTATCATTGAAGGCTTTACCAAATGTTTACCTTTGTGGACACAGTGTGATTGTCTTAATGGTTTAGAACAAGAACTCGTCTCAAAATCTATGGAAGTGCAGTCAATATAGGTGACTACTTTTAGTTCCTGTGGTGTAGGATTATACAAACGATTCGCAAATGGAGTCACGTGTCTTTCTTTATAATCTTCTCGGGCAATAACCTCAAATCCAATGTTCTCGGGGGCAAATTGCATCATCGAGGATTGTCTTATTCTTTAAATGATGATTTTATTGTCAGATCCAAACCAAAATTTAAAAAGTCGTATGTCATCGTGAGCAGAAATGAGCATAGGATGCTATTTAATGTTTAAGGGTATTTTACGTACTTGTCTAAGGGGTAGCATCCAAGATACCAAAACTTATGCCATCAAGTGTTCCCCTTGAAAAGATAATGGACACGTCTGAGGTTTTTAAATTTTTTTTTAATTCCGATATTTTCCAAGTGGAAAGTTTTAATCGAAACAGCCTGTATATACTACATGAGTATATGGATTTATTCTATGAAAACCATTCTTTACGAATAATGACATGAAAAAATCACTATAACTCTATTTTCAATATTTTCAAAAGTTTGAGAAACACCCAAAAAAAGAGACCGGAATGAAAACACCCGTATTACATATTACCGGAAAAGAATACAGTATTAATACTATAGGAAATAGTAGCTCCGAACCTGCTCTTTCCATCTAATATACTGGTTTTCTACTTGGATATTTGGGCAAGGAACTCCTGATGTGAAAAAGTGTGAGTAATTCAATGTCACCTGAAATGCGCATCAATTTTGTCAATAAGATCAGGCCTTAAAAGACAGAAAATGTGTTGCGGTACTTATAAATTACCCGATACTATAAAGGACAAAGTTAAAACATTAGAAGCTTACATGTATGTGGAAGAAAATTTGGATTTTAATAACTATGTTTAATTATTGTTTTTCCATGAAAACGGGAGTGTCGGCGAGATTTCGAATACAGAGCGTCCTTATAGCGATGAAGATGGGGATAACTCAGTGGGCCTAGTACATTTTGTGAATTACATTTAAAAAAAAAAAGCATTCCAGCAGTAATTTAAATTTTCTGAATAAACAATTAAAATTATGTGACATAATTCAATTTTCTCAAAAATATCAATACACATACCTTTGTACAGAATTTTATGCTGTACAACTTTGGTCCTTTGCATGTTTGTGAAAGTGCTAATAGGTACTTTTCAAGTTATTCAAGAAATAAGATTTCGGCCATTTCTAGAATTTTCCCGGTCGGCTCACGTGCAAAACAATTTTTTTTTTCCTCATTTACTAGCGAAAATTAGCCACATACAAAAAATTGTGCTCTTCAGAATTAGTGTCATCTTCAAATACAATTTTTACTACAGTGATGGTGACATACATCTGAAAACACTTGTCTTGATCATATTATGCTTGTGTAAGCAAAATGCCATAAAATTGTGACAGTTGCATTTCCCCTCACATACATTTTATTGCGGAAACAGTGTATTTGACATAAACCAACATAAACTTGGCAAAGTTTATGTCGCGAAAAAATCTTTTTTTCATGTAAATTACTTACGTTTTATAATTAGTTTAATTCGATGTATTAAGAGATAGGTAGCACCACTCAATGGATATGCACCGAAGTAAAATAAGAATCAAAACAATGCGTTCAAAGCACTTCAAACTGATGTTGAGAAAAAATGGGAAAACTTTCAGTCTTTAACTTTAGGTGCTCGCTTTTTAAATCATATTAAATAGAAGGCACTGGAAAAACAATTTTGCATACCGCTATCTGTCACATATCGATTTGTTTGTAATTGCTGTCAATTGCTGAAAAATAATACTCCATACTAATTAACTGTTAATTCTTCCAAATACTCTTGTAATTGATCTTTCAAAAATTTTATACCGTTCACCAGTTAAGGAACCATCATAGTATGGCTCTAATATTTTTGAACCTAGCACCGATTTTGAAAATTTCTTTCTCCTATAATTCTAGGATTATCATGGCTCCAATGGTATAATGTATTGCGGTTAAACATGTGCTTGTTAGAAAAATTACTTTCATCTGTCCATAAAATAATTTTTGGAAAGTTGGGATTATTATTTGCAGTATTTAAGTAGGTACCATCTACAAAACAGTTCAAAGTCATGCTAATGTTCAAAGTCATTTTCATGAAGATGTTGAACCAAATTCACCTTGTAAGAAAACAATTTATGTTATGCTATACAAAACGTACTCGGTTAAACTATGATTCCTGGCTAATTCCTTTATGGAAGTATTCAAATTTTCTGGCACAGTTAATAGTAAATCTAATTCTTGATTCTCATTGCAAGCATATCCTAAGGAAACTCTTTTCTTCTTCAGTGTTTCATACTGTCTTAGATTTGCTTGATTTGAAGTTTACTAAATTTTCTTCTGTTAGAGGAAATTTTATTAGGATAACATTGTAGATATAATTATTGTAAAGCTGCAACACTGTTTTTTTACATTCATAAACTTGCATCAGCCTAATTCTAATCCCAGTCTAATTTAATCTCTCACAACTTAGTCAGTTCTTCGGAAATCCTTTTATTGTGAACATGTCCATAATCAACCATAACAGGAACAAAAATCCCTTCTTTCATTTACATAGTCTTTTAATGCGTGCAAACGTTTGATGATTTGGAATGCATCTGTTTGGAAACCTATCACGGTATACCCTTACAGATTCTCACCCTTTCTTTGACAAAATCCATACACTAACAACATATCAGTCATTTCAGCATTACTGTACCCTTCATTAGCCATTTTATGGAAAAAAAATACTATTACAACTACTAAGCAATTCACATAAAAAAAGAAGACGACCAATTTTGAAATTTTCAAATATTACAAGCACAGAGCACCTAATTAGACACATCAATCAACTACTAGAAGAGCTGGAACAGTGCACAACAACGCCCTCGGTGACGGTAGACGGCAACTTCAAATTATAAATATATTCTTTTATTAATTTTAATCACAGATATGATGATATTACTAAACGTCAAAGTAACATCTGTACTATAATAGTTTTTCATAACTATTTATGAAAAACAGCTTTAGTACCGATGTAATTTTGACATTTAGTAATATATTATAAACTAAGGTAACGGAAAAATGAAACAAACTATTTACAAATATAAGACTTTGCTAACTTTTTTTCTAATCTTATTAACATAACTTCAATTATAATCTTCTGCATATTTGAATAAAATGAAATAGATACATAATCAAAAAAAAATTTGTTTGTTATTTCTACTTTATGTTCGGAACAGTTAATATAAATGGTATCAAGATATTTTTGAAATAATGACTTAATTTTCTTTTATATTACTTATATTCGTTTAAACATTTCTTTATTAAATCATGGCAATGTGGCACACATTTTGACCATTTCTGTAGAGCAATAATTTAATTTTATGCCATATTCTTTAACAAAGTTGTGCTCACTGAGTAGGTCTTTTGATTTAAAACATGCCAAACATGTCTCACAGTTAGTTTGTAACTTTTTTATAATATTGCCACAAACATATGCTATTATTTCGGATTAAAATGAATTGTCCAAGGTATTGACATCCTCTATGGTGGAGAATTCATTTGAATCAGAAGTGATGTTTATGTTCTTAGAATTAATAAATTCTTTGAGATTTATTAATAGATTAAAATTGTCATCTTCGCAATTTTTCGCATTATTTTTATTAGTCGATAAGTTATTAATAATAGCAGTTTTCATGCAGCTAATAAATTGATGTGGGTTGGGATTACTGTTGCTCCTCCATACTGACGAATAATGGCTACAAAAAAATAGTATTAAAAATGTTAATGAAATTTAATATATTACTACCTAAAAAAGTTTTCCAAGGGATATTGCTGGACATTTCTAGTTTTTAAAGTTTTATTTTTAAAATACTCTCCATATAATTCTTTTAAAGAAATTAATGTGAATACGAGGCCTTGTACGCATCTCGGAGATTTTTGTTGAACGCCATTTTTATAATTATTTCCAACTTATTTTTAAAATGTGTAGATTCCAAAATTTTATGTTGCCAATATTTGGCATCATGGCACATTTGAATGGTTTTCCTAAACATCATTAAAATGATTTTTCTAAAAATAAATTCATGTCTTATGTTTTACCTGGAGGGGGTGTGATATTTCGACCATTTAGTGAATCAAATAATGTGACTATAACATTCAGTTGTATTAATAGCTTCTGCAGATAGATTACTTGATGCTACCATTGATTCGATCGTAGCAGTGGCCGTTGCCCTAAAAATTTGTGTGGCATATGACACTTTCATTTTCACGTAACTTTGGTGTAAATTAAAATGTACAGGTCTAATTTTTCTCATTGCTGCAAATTATACATTTAGTAAATATAAAAAAATGTACATACATACCTTGAAGGCGTCTAGATAAATCTATTTTAGGCGCTTCTTTTATATGGGCCCACTTCGCTACTTTATTTTTGTCAAAACATATATCATACTGACTTAAAGCTGTTCCTATATTTTTAATTATATGTGGCACATCATGCAACATATAAACTTTTTTTCGTTAATTACAATGTGATGTCCTCCTGGGTTCCTAAAAATTTTGGAGTATATATTTATTAAAAGCATTACTTTTAATTTAAAAAATTAATTTTACCTTGGTCGCAGACACAACCAACCACATCGATGCGATTATCAATTAAATTATGCAGAATGTGAGTGAGCAGCTGTTTCATATTATACGTTTTTATTTGATCTTTAGCAAAGAAGAAAGCGATAGGTGGTTTCCATCTACCTTTCAGGGACACTAGCATAAAAACTAAGGCATGATTTGACTCTTCTTTAGTTCGTCCAAGGTGCCCGAAGTCTACGTATCCAAGAGGTTTTATCATAGGTTAATCCCGTCTAAGGGAGATTTCATCAAAAAATAATACACATATCATATAGTCCTCCTTGGACTCACTCAATTTTTGTTTTAAATGGATCAACAACTTCATATCTAATCCAATTTGTGGTGGAATTCCAATTAGTGCTTTTTTACGGTAATTTAATTTTTTTTTTTTAGCCGATAACACTTTGGACTTCTTTTATACCACTAATGCAAATATTTTGTCCTCAGCCGTGACAGTACTGAAGTTTTCAATTTTTTCTCAATTAAAGCTCAACATCAAACATTTCTTTCTCAATTTGCCAATTTTGCCCTTTTCCTTATTATATTCACTATATAAATTTTTTTTCTTCGGTGTCAAAAAATTTGCATTTTTTTCTCCAATTTTGTTTAATGCAGACTTTCTTCCTATAAATAGAAAAATTACATACAATATATTACTCCTTATTGTGTGTTTTTATTAGTGATGTAAAATAGCATGCTATTTAGTTTTGGGTGATATATATCAAAATATATATCATTATATATATCAGATGAATTTTGTTAAAAAAAAACTATATTCAAATTAGTTTTTTTATATTGCTAATGCCTTGCTGATTAATTTGACACCAAATACATGTCATATATATGAACTTTAAGAAAAGTTATCAAGTGATCTTTATTTTTTTTCATATTTAGATTGGAATTTTATATTTTTTTTATCATACTGACTTCTAATTTTTGTTGCGTGCTACTGACTGTTTATAAGCAAGTACGCTGTTTATTAGCAATTTAGTTTTATCAACCCAGAAATAAAAAATGGGAAATTTCTAGAACAAGAAAATTTAGTCTTTGTATATCACAATACGTACTTAAAAAAAATTAAAGATAAAAATTGAAATAAAAATTATCAAAAACTTATGATAATAAAGAAACTGCTTTAAAGTAGTACTTAAAAATCTGAAAATTTAGGGGTGTACTATAAATGGGGAGACCTAAGAGCGCACGTAATTTCAACTCACCCCTTCCACCCTAGGGGGTGGGGTGAAGGTTTTTTTTAGACGTACCCTATTTATTTTGCGATTTTCGGATTGTACGCGTAAAACTACCCCCAGAAACGCGTTCTTGGGGGTACGTCTAAAAGACCACCCCTCACCCCCTCTGCACCTACTAAGGTGGAAAGGGCCAGTTGAAATCAGGTTCGCTCTTAGGTCTCCCCACTTATAGTACACCCCTAAAATTTCAGATTTCTATATTTATTTTTGAAGGAGAAAAATGCTCATCGAAAAAACGACAAAATCCATACGAGGGTGGTGGTTTGGTTTTTGTGCGAATTCGGCAAGAACGCGCTTTCGGGGGTAGTTTTACGCATAGAATCCGAAACTCGCAAAATGAGTAGGGTACATCTAAAAAAACCACCCGTCACCCCCTAGGGTGGAAGGGGTGACTTGAAATTACGTGCGCTCTTAGTTCTTCCCATCTATAGTACACCCCTAAAATTTCAGATTTTTATATTCATTTTTGACGGAGATATTCCAGGTACCCAAGAGCTACTACAGTCCAACTCAAGCCTACCACACCACAAGTTTTTAGTTTTAAAATGTAAGGTTATGTTTGAAATTTGGCTTTATTCATGAAATGGCGGGAAAATTGATATATATCAGCTATTAACATATATATAATAGCTGATATGTATCAAAAATTGATATATATCAATTTGTTATATATTTTCACTCACATCACTAGTTTTTATTGTATTAAAGTACAGTAGTAAATACAAAATTATTTTACAAAGACTGTATATAAATATAAACCACTTTAGAGAAAATGTTAGAGAATATGAATAAAATTTTTATTTCAGCAAATGTTTCTTTTAATATTCAATATCTTTAAAAGATTATACTATATTATAATAATGTGGTTAATATCAGTAAATAGTTCTATAACTGTTGTGGTATGTTATACCTCTTTTGTACCAAACACACAGAGCTCCTATTCTTGAATCGTTCAAGCACAATGCCTATACAAGTATATAGCATTGAATCCCTCAATCACAATTGTGAGAAAAATTATCAAACTATTTAATTCACATATCCATTGATCTGAAAAGATTCAAGAGGAAGGCTTCCGACAACTGACTGAATTATAATTATTTTCACAATCTTTATAAACTTGTTTGTATTTTAATTAAATTATTTTTACTATATACTAGAAGTGAAAATAAAATAAAACTAGTGAAACTTACTTTTCGGTTTTGTTGAGGAGTTGAAAATCCAACATGTGATGCGTTTTGAAGCATCATGTGGCTCATATCCTGAGAGGCAGAAGGAGATGAATCAAATTCTGGTACATTTTGTTCTAGTTCTTCTTCAAGTACTTTCAAAAAACCCTTGTCGGGGTAAGCAAATTTTAAGTCTGGTTTTCAATGTACTTGAAAATTTTGAGTCTGTAAAATGAAGTTGGCATATTCTAAGACTATGTGGTTTAATTTAATTTTAATACCAGGGAATTCTTTTGCCAAAGTTGTTATCCATTTTTTCTTCCACTTCGATTCTAAAGGAAACTTGAAAAAACAAAGATCATTTCTTTCCGGATATTTGTAATCACATGTTGGAACACAACATGCAAACTGTGACCGTCCCATCTGAAAAATAATGAAAACTTTTTGCTTATCACCAGAAAATAATATAAATAATTAATATTATTACAAACTAAGTACTTACCTCACGTCTCTTGATCGTAATGTACTTATATATATAAATATAATAATAATGTCCTTTATATTTAATATTAAAGTAATTAACTGCACTATACTAGAATAAGATCCGGTACTTTGAGCGTCGGTTAAGCCTTGGTTAAGTAATCGCATGATTAGACTGTACATATACTGATTTATTTTATACTGGTATATTCACAGTCTATTCGCGTGATTAGTTAATTAAGTCTTAACCGAGACTCAAAGTACGGGCCTAAATAAACATATCTAGTGAACAATGACTTGTTAGATATCACCACGGAATATTTTGCAGAAATTATTGATAAAAGAGCTTACTGTATTACTCACAATTCGAAAACTGCTAGCGGTATGATCAACTAATGCAACGTGATAGTTTTTTGGCCGATTGACACCCACGTGATTACAAGAGACATTTGAGAGAGTTGTCATTTAATTATACTGTTTCCACAGCAATTGCAGAGGTGATTTGATTTTCGGTTAGCTTTTGTCGCTTCATCAATGAGCAAAGAGCGCAGAATATGTTTTTCCATTGAAAAACATATCTTTTAAAAGAGGTCAATAATAGTTAGTAATTTTTTAGATTTTTATGTCATTTAGATTGCTTACATTGTTTAGATTGTGTTAGATTGATTAGATTGTTTTTAGAAAGTGTGTTGTTTACTGTCAATTCTGTTTGCAGTAAAATTGTTAAATAAACGGAATTTAAAATTGTAATTGCACTGTTTCTTCTAAAAGCCTATTTCTTGCTAATAAACGATTACTCCTAATCTTGTTTATCAGTGGAGTTAAAATAAGTTATAAACAAATTTATTTATGTATTTACAAATCTAAATGCCTTTTTGCTGAAAACGGTTGGCTTTAGAGATATTAGCAAGGTATACCTTTTTTAAGCAGAAAAGTTAGGGGAAAAGATTTTTCTAGCCCAAAGTGAAATACACCATGGCACAAAAAAGTTCTGGTAGTTTAAATGCGTTCTAATGGTCGCTTCTGGCACCTTCTAGAAGATACAACGAAATAGTCGATAAATTCGAATTTCTCATCCCAAAAAACCACCGGATACAAAATTTCACGAAACTACCTCGAACTAGTTGAAATATATTAAAGAAAATGTTATTAATTTTTTCAACTTTGACACCCTATAGTTCCGTTATTATCAATTTTTGGACTAAGGTAAGTTTAGTTAAATCAATTTATTTGAAGCCATACTATATCTGCTGGAGAGTTGTAGAGACACCCTGTATAGTATTTTTCAAGGCCCTTTATACAATTTAAATTTTGTCACTAGTGTCAAATTTAGAGAGACAAATAGATTATAAATCTCTCAAAAATGCAATTTAACTTATTACATGACCAAAAAATAAATAACAATAGGGTTGTTGACCAAATTTCAAAAAGTAGATAATATAATTCTACACGTACTAATTAGTGTGTATGCACAATTAGAGATTGAAAAATGCGTCGGAACAGTTTTAAAATAATTATTTAAAACTGATTTTTTTATAATATTTCAAAACAGCCGTGACGTCATAAGGGGCACCTTGTAATGAAATTATGTGTAGATGATTGCGTAAAGGAAAAAAATTGGCGGAAGAAGATGCTCTGTCAACACTGTCAGTAGTGTCAGTCTGTCAGTGACATTGTCGCATGAAATATTTTCAAGTCTACTAGTTATCTTCCTTAATCTTCGAATTCCTTTATTAAGTAAAATTATTATTTAGTAATAATCATTTAATATCTTCCTTCTCTTAGAATTAAAGCAGAATGTGTGAAACGGGATTTGTGAAAGCTACTTCGCAAATTTTACCAAAAATTGATATTTTTATGATCATGAATTGAATTTTTAAAAAGAGACGACCGTTTTAATATTGGCGAAATCAGAGGTATAAAAGCAGTCAGGTAAGGATTAACATATTTAATGAATGATTTTACTGTGTTTATTTAAAATATAAATAATAAATATAAATACCTACTTATTTACGGAAAATTATAGTGCAGTTCGGGAGTCTTATGGAGATAATGCAATTGGCTATGTGGAATGTGGAACAAAACACCACTTAAATTTTGTTGAATCCATTACCATCGGGAAATTAATAATAACTATCACAAATACTCTTAATTGATAGACTGCTGTCATTAGTGTCACTACTGTCACTTTTGTTTAAAGAACAGAAAACAGAACAACAAGGTTTGATGGACAATTTTGATATATTTTCTTCTTCAAAATTATGCAATAGGATCGCTATTAGCTTCTTGTTCAATTGCCTCTTATGACGTCAGACTAGTTTTTAAGTAACACAAAAATTCATAAATGATTTCTACCACTAATTTGTCATATATTTAAAATTTTACTATACAGGCAGGTTCTTTTATATAAAATCTTTGTATCAACAACATTTTGTACATGGTTTGATTTTATAGTCAACAACCCTATTGTTGATTTGTTTCACAGCTATTGCCAAAAGTATTTTTTTTCTTTCAACTTGATGTAACTTCTAAACAGTTAATAATTTGTCATGGATTTCAAGCAAAAGACCCTTATGGAAAGTGGTTTTCGTTAAATTGGCTAAATTTTTTATATGTTATCTGTCTCTGACAAGGAGAAGGTAAGGTAGTCGGATTATTGTAATTTTTGATATTTATGGTACGTGTAGTTTGGACCTTGAATAAGAATTTTCCGAAGTAGTTCGACGCAACGTTCATAAATTACCGAGATAATCGATTTTGAAGTTTTACCTGACCACTAAATCCACTAGATGTGACACATTTTTCAACTGGGAGCGTGGCCTAATTAGTAGCGTTCGGGACTGCCAGTCACGAGATCGCTGGTTCGAGTCCGTCGCGTGACATTTCTTTTTTTTTTTTCAAAACGCACCAGATGGTTTTTTATTATTTTTTTCATCTCGAAAATTATGAACAAACGAAATATTATAATAAATACTCATGTATATGTAGGAATATTCTTCAAATATTTCATTAAAATGCACAATTGGTTGATGAACAATATTTATTATGAGTTAACAATAAAGTTTCCTTAAAAAAAAACAAATGAGGTCAGGTAGGTTATTTTATTTTTAGTATTTGACATTTTACGCAGTGTGGCATAAGCCAGAATGATAGTTATCATAGAAACATGGGAAGCACAAATTTTTTAAGCATCTAGCATGTCGTGTAAATGTTATGTTTTTACAGGCGTATTTTGTTTTCAAAATATCGATGTCGAAGCAAATTTTGTTAACATTTTGAAAGATTGTTCTTTCATTACACAGTTTCGATGCTTCTCTACCCTTTGTGGAATTTACCGAAACTTTATATGCCCGAGCAGGTGTGTTCTGTAAGCGGTTTTTTTTAAACACGCTGGACGACCCACATAACCTAGCTCAAAATGTTAATTAAACACTTGAAGAATATTCCTACATACAGTTCTCATAATATTTCGTTTGTTCATAATTTTCGAGATCAGAAAAAGAAAAAAGAAAGGAAGCTAGATGCTTAAATAATGTCTGCTTCCCATTTTTTTATGATGGCTACCATTCTGGCTCGTGCCACACTGCGTAAAATGTCAAATACTAACATAAATATAAAATAAAAGAACATTCTACCTGACCTCGTTTGTTTTTTTTTTTAATGAAATCTTATTGTTAATTCATAATAAATATTGTTTATCAACCAATTTTTTCATTTTGATGAAATATTTGAAGAATATTCCTACATATACATAAGTATTTATTATAATATTTCGTTTGTTCATAATTTTCGAGATGAAAAAAATAATAAAAAACCATATGGTGCGTTTTGAAAAAAAAAAAGAAATGTCACGCGACGGACTCGAACCAGCGATCTCGTGACTGTCAGGCCCTAACGCTACCAATTAGGCCACGCTCCTAGTTGAAAAATGTGTCACATCTAGTGGATTTAGCGGTCAGGTAAAACTTTAAAATCGATTATCTCGGTAATTTATGAACGTTGCGTCGAACTACTTCGGAAAATTCTTATTCAAGATCCAAACTACACGTACCATAAATATAAAAAATTACAAAAATCCGACTACCTTACCTTCTCCTTGTGAGTATTGAACAAATAAATGTCTTCATGGGCGCAAAGTCTAAAACCCCACGAGTTCCGAGACAAGGCCCACTGAAGTCAGTATCATCGGGTATTGGCTTTACTTAAAAATGAATCTTTGTTTAAAAAAAAAAGTTAGCTTGCTATTTTATATAAAGGTTGTCCAGTTTATGTTTCAAAAAAACTTGTGTGCAAGTTCCTCATGGAAAAATAATAGGTGTAGTTCATATAAATTTTTTTTCTTATACACCCTGTTTTCGAGCTACAGTGTGTTGAAGTTGTTACTTTCCAAATGGTTTTCCTTAATTATCTTTAAATGGATAAAGATAAAAATGTCAAAATTTATACACGAGTAAACATCAACTGTGCGTTAAGAATAATGTTAAAATACTACTATAATACTACAAAAAAAAGGTATACTTGTTGAAATTTGGTAGCATTTTCGAAAAAAATTGAAGTTTTATAGAAGAAAATAGGGGACAATTTCAGCATCGTATTTTGAGTTTTGCTCATTTATTTAATTATGCAGCTGTTTTGATCTGTATGTCTCAGAGTCTGTTTCCTAATATTTTTCTGTTCTTATCACTTAAGCATTCATGTCCATCAACAATTCAGTCCATTCAACAATTGTTTATTTTAGTAATGGTAGTGTAGTAGTTTACAAAATATAAAATTAGTTATTAATAGATAATTAATTACCATAATCCGTTTATTTTTATTTACTTTTTTAAATGTTAGTTTACAACAAACTGAAACTTAAAATAAATTTAAATTTTTTTTTTAGTTAAAATGTTTTACAATTTAACTGTTTCATGTGATACGTAAGAAATTAAAATTATTGTCTTAAATGCAAATACTGTTGGTAGCTAAATGTCTTCAGCTCATTCAATGGTAAAGTCCCCTTTCAATTTAATATTTTGTTAATGTACTTGTGCTGCTTTATATGAGCAAAAAAATGCAACTTCGTTTTTCTCCAAAATGCTACCGAATTTCGGTAAGTATACCTTTTTTTGTAATATGCTTTAGAGTTTACAGAACCGTTTAGAAATGTAATAAATTTTTACTTTTAACATATTTTTTTCGATTGTACCCCTCCGATTACTTGTATCGGCGACACTGCTTTTCAGAAAAAAAACATTTGCACATTATTCTTAACGCACAGTTGATGTTTACTCATATACAAATTTTAATATATATTTAGCCGATTTCAAGATAAATAAAGAAAACCACTTGAAAAGTGATAACTTCAACACACTGTATCTCGAAAACAGGGCGTCTAAGAAAAAAACTACATGAACTACCCCTATTATTTTCCCATAAGGAACTTGCACACAAGTTTTTTGAAACATGAACGGGACACCCTGTATATAGAAGTATGTATTTGTGAGCTTGACTTCAAGGTCAAGGTTAAAGGAACATCCTTTCGAACCCCGACATGGAAAGGAGATAATTAAAAAAAGAAAAATAGACTAGAAAGGACTTAATTGTGATGGTTATTGATAGGTTATGGCCTTAATAATAGCAAAACCGACTACACTAGACTGAAATACAAACAAGTATATTATGACAACTTCACAATCCGGAATCAGAACAGCTGATACTGATCAACTGACTGATGGTAACTAAGAAGTTTAAATCCGACTTTGTAACCTCCGCGTGGTAAACTCTGGGTAACACTAATGCAAATGGCAAGTCAGTCGTTTTTCTATTTTGGGACTTATACATACATGGTTCTGAAGATCAACAGTCAGTCGTTTTTCTATTTTGGGACTTATACATACATGGTTCTGCAGATCAACAAGGTCATGGTCAAGTTCATATTGATATGTAGGATTTTCCGTTCTTTCTATTTCCGGGATCAGAAGGAGAGTCATCATTTAATAAACCCGACTTGTTCCTTTAACCTTGACCTTGAAGTCAAGGTCACAAATACTTCTATATACAGGGTGGGCCAATGGAAACTTTCCACCCTGATTTTTTTGGTTTAAAATAAAAATCTGGGAAAACGCTCGGACACGTCGACTTTTGATTTGAGGGGGGACTATTTTTTAGTTTTTTTCATCCCTGTAGCTTTAACACCCTAGCTAGGGAGAGAACAACCCCCCAAATTTGAATAGGGGATAAGGGTCGTGCCATACCTCTTTTTAAAAGGTCTCATCGAGTTCTTTATGACCCAATTTTGCCTCCTTATTTTTATCCGTAACGAAATGACAGCTTGTCAAAATAAAAATAAAGAAAAATACTTACCTACTAATTTATTAATTATGTCTACACGTGAACTTTATTTAACAAACTGTTCAAAATGTCCCCCATTAACATCCATGCAATAATAAAATCGATTCTCTATCACTTCTCTAACATTCTGCAACATATCGGCAGTTGTCCTTTGACATTCTACAGTTATGCGTTCTTGCAGAACTTGAAGAGAAGCTGGCTGTGTTTTATAAACTGTAGACTTCAAATGGCCCAGAGAAATAAGTCCAGACAGGAAAGATCAAGGGATCTTGCAAGCCACTCAATAGATCCCCTATGGCCAATCCAATGACCTCTAAAATTTTCGTTGAGGAATTGACGAACGGGGGCTGCATAATGGACTGGAGCCCCATCTTGTTGAAAAAACACTTCATGTTGTGACAAGTTATTATCTTCGGCAATGACGTCCCTTATTCTAAGAACAATATTGTCTTGAAGCAAAGTAAGATACAACTCTCCAGTCAAATTGCCTTGCAAAAAGAATGGGCCGATTAAGTTATTGCCTAAGATACCTGCCTAGACATTCAACTTTTCAGGATGTTGAATGTGAGACTCTCTAAATAAATATGGGTTTGAATCGCTTCAGTATCGACAATTATGTCGATTGATCAATCCATGTAGAAAAAAGGAGCATTCATCTGAAAAGTAGATATTGTACAGGAAATTCGGATTGCCAATACACCGTTCACTCATTTCTTCTACAAATTGTAATCGTCGGTCATAATCATCCTCGTTAAGTTCGTTAAGCAATTGTATCTTGTAGAATGTCAAAGGATAACTGTCGATATGTTGCAGAATATTAGAGAAGCGATAGAGAATCGATTTTATTATTGCATGGATGTTAATGGAGGACATTTTGAACAGTTTGTTAGATAAAGTTCACGTGTAGACATAATCAATAAATTAGTAAGTATTTTTATTTCTTTTTATTTTGACAAGCTGTCATTTCGTTACAGATAAAAATAATGAGGCAAAATTTTGGAGTCATAAAGAACTCGATGAGAAATTTAAAAAGAGGTATGTCACGACCCCTATCCCCTATTCAAAATTGGGGGTTGTTCTCTCCCCAGCCAGGGGGTTAAAGCTATGGGGATGAAAAAAACTGAAAAATAGTTCCCCCTCAAATCAAAAGTCGATGTGTCCGAGCGTTTTCCCAGATTTTTATTTTAAACCAAAAATATCGGGGTGGAAAGTTTCCATTGGCCCACCCTGTATATATAAAACAGCAAGTCAACGTTTTTTTTAAAACAAATATTAATTTTTAAGTAGAGTCAAAACCAGATGATATTGGCTTCAGTGGGCCTTATTTCGGAATCCGTGGGGTTTTGGGTTTTGCGCCCATGAAGACATTTGTTCAGCATGCAGAGATACATATTGTATAAAAAATTTTGCCAATTTAACGGGAACCACTTTTCCATAAGGATTGTTCGGAGTCCTTTATTGGTCTATTAAATCTATGTCTACCACTTTCTTATGCCTACAATTTTTACATATAGATTTAATTTAGAAATTTTATTAGAAGAAAAAATTTGCCCTGAGACATATACATACGCTTTCCTTGTCAGAGTCATCTGGCATTTTGACACTAAGTCTTTTGGTATCTTCTTGCATATCATTGTTTTGGCAAAATTCATTTGGATCTGATTTACATTTCTTATCAGATGTTAAATCAGATTCGTTTTCTTCTAAAACTGGGTGTACCTAGAAAATGTTATTGATAATATTATTGTAAATTATATTAAATAATTCACCATTAGACTTATATGATTATTGATGCCATTGGATTTATTTAAAACTGCATCGGTAAATTCGTTTTCAGCCAAAATTTCTTCCTTTGACTTGACATGATCATATAACAAATTATGTTTCTACAATGTCAAAATAGATTATGCAATTAAAAATTAACAAAACACAAAACAGCTATGTAACATACCCCTTCAGTATCTTGTAATGTCTGGATATCTTGAACTGTTACTGCACTTAACTCATGTAACTTCAGTTGCAAATCTAATACTTTCTCTGATTCCATTTCAAGTCTAGCTTCTAATTCTTGTTCGTGTTGCTCTAATTTAATTCGTTGTTCCTCAGCCTTTTTCTGCTGCGCAGCAAATTTTTGTGCAACTTCCTAAAAACAAAATATATTCAACAGTCATAAAGTTACAAAGGGGAGAGAGGGAGTGAGGCAGAGAAGAGTGAAAAAGGGAAGACGATTAAGTGAGAAAAGTTTTGTCTTTCAGTATAATTACTATAAAATATCAAACTTAGTGAAAATGAAATTTGGACATGACAATATCACAATCTGCCTCTAAATATGAAATAAAAATCTCTATGAAATTTAATTTTTATATACCCCATGTTTGCTTTCTAATTATATTTTCTACTGGGTGTCCTAACCAAATGATAAAGCTCTGTGTGTCCCACTAAGGTCGGTGAGGTACAATATTAGAGAAAATATAGGCCTTAGAGCTTCGGGAAAAGAATTTTGATTAATAAATCGACCAAGAGAAATCACTGGAAAGTTTTCAAGTTCATAGCTCGGCCGCTAGAGGGCGCAATCTACATACCAAAACATAGAGACAAACGCATTTTGTTTTGGTAATTAAATGTCTTTTCATTAGCGTCGTGTTCCTCAATTAGTATCATTATTTATTTTTTGCTCACTAATTTGCGAATAACATAATAATAAAAAAAAAAGATATCGAACCCTTCTTGGCGTCAAAATGTAGCTATTTTTATGCTCTTCAAACTAACCTATAAAAAGTTTTATCCTGCTTTCACTTTTTAAAAAAAAACGTGTAACAACCTAAACTTGAATAGCGCCAATAAATAAACATTTTCGCTGGAAATTTTAAACTTATGCTATATTCATCAATTTTTTGATGAAAAATCGATAAAACGGCATTCTTTTGAACTAACGCCATCTATAAGTTTCCATATTGAGGTAAATGGCATAACACATTCACTACGAGATAAAGCATGAAAGACCTTTCCAACGAGATACAATGGGCTTTTGATGAGCCAATCCTTAAAAAAATGTATTTTTCTGATCACCCTTTCTGTCGAGAGATAGAACAAAATGTCAATAACAAAAGTTATGTGCAATGAATCCAGCTATCCATATTTGTATTATTTTAGGAAATATTTCTGAGAAAACTCAACTCTATGTTTTGATATGTAGATTGCGCCCCCTAGCGGCCGAGCTACGAACTTGAAAACTATTTCCAGCGATTTCTCTTGGTTGGTTTATTAAATAACATTTTTTTCTGAAGTTCTAAGACCTATACTTTCTCTAATATTGTACCTCGCCGACCTTAGCGGGAAGCCCTGTATATCTTAAACCCTTATAGATAGAAAAAAAGTTTATTCAAAAATTACAATACAACAACAGCGCCATCTTTCTAAATTATTTATAATCACATAGGGCGTTGCACTTCCACGTGGGTATATAAAACTTAATTTTTTTTAAATGGAACACTATATTAATTAAATTTCTGTTTACACATTAAATTGTCTATTCAGCCATATTTTGTTTTCCAAAATCCGAGTAACTGATGCGAAGTTATTTAAATTTTTTTAAACAAAATTTAGGAAAGCATTATTCTTTTGGGAAATACATTGCTATCCCAGTTTTTTCGATAGGGAAATGCAATTTGGGTCCGAGGCGGGGGACATGTTGAAGAATGTTACTGAGATTAGAACATGTCTCCAATTTATAGGGTATTATTCTTCTTCCTAGTGATAGGTCCAGAGATATTAGAGAGGGAAGAAAACGCATATACCACTGTGCATAGCTTTTTAGGTGGGACGGCTTGGAGGCCGCCATTTTTACCTCACAATGTCATTTTGATGGTGGATGTCCGATTATTAACTTGATATAGTAAAAGTTTAGAATTTATTCGAGTGTTTTTGTTAAGCAAAATGAGTTGTAGTGTAAATACTTGTAAAAACATAGGGCGTTTAAAACCCACAGGAGTTACATTTCACAGGTATTTTTATAATATTAATTTACAAAATTATACGAAATTTGTTTTTCTTGATTTATTTTGTAGATTTCCACAAGATGAGAAAAAATTGTCGCAGTGGCTACTAGCTATAGGTGAAAAACAATGTAGCTATGATGCAATTAAATATAAATTCGTCTGCTCTCAGCATTTTAAAAAATCAGATATTGTAAGAATGCCAGACAAAGTGTATCTAAGACCTAATGCCCTTCCATGTCTGTCTCTTGGTGAAATTGCAAGTCTCCATTCCTGTTGATGAGAATATGCCACTAGTTGCTTCATCATCACGTGAGCTATCCATTTCTTTGCTAGAACAATTTTCAGACGATCGGTCTCATGACAAGGACAAGGAAGGAAAAAAGAAAGCTATAAAGAGAATGAGATTTGTTTTCAAATTCCATAAAATTACACTTTCTCGAAGTTATCATAAGTTGCGTAAAACTAAAGTTGCTATTAAATATTGCATAGTAGATTTTACTTTAATACACAACTTTTAAAATTCCACAAATATCAACTACCTACTTAATTATTTGAGTTACATACTCAACATTTTTAATTTGATTATCACAGTTTTTAATTGGGTTTATTTGTTTTTAGGTGAATTAAACAGTCCTTCTTTCCCTGTGGCAAAAATTTGCTCTGCAAGTGAACAGTGCGTCAGACACGTTATGGAAATAACAGGAAGGACAATACCACCGGAAAAACATTTTTTTACAACATTTGTTTTGGCTGTGGCCAAGAGATTCTATTCGAATTCAGTTTTACCGGACCTAGTGAATCATTTTACCACCTTCACCTATGCAGAAGAGAACCATAAATTTATATAATTATATATTTATTTTTTTTTAAGTTGCGTTTTATTATTATTGTTAATAATTTATTGCTGTAATTACGAAATCGAATAGTTGATGATGATGATGATGAAAATGATGATGATATTGATTTTTAAAATTTGGCGCCAGAAATTGACATTATTGAGGTAAAAATGGCGGTCTCCTGGATTGCTATACTCGCGCAGATCCTATGTGTACTCTCCCTCTCTAATATCTCTGGGTTGGTCCTAATAAGTCCCATAGCACTGCGGCCTAATTAGGCCTATTGTGTCCCACTACTAGTCGTATTCAGCAAGTAGGTTTCTCGTTTTGACAAAGTCCAAAAGCTTGCTTGCTGACACTTCTCTCAGTTCCTTGGGTTCCAAATAAGGTCCAAAAATATTCAGCACGTCCTATTTACAAAAATCAAGTTTTAAGCAATCAAATTTCCTTAACTTTGAACACCACAAAGTAACACCCTATAAATTGGAAACATGTTCTAATCTCAGTATAACATTCTTCAACATGTCCCTCGCATTGGACCCAAATTGTATTTCCCTATCGAAAAAGCTGAGGTAGCAAAAGGATAATGCTTTCCATAAATTTTTTATAAAAAAATTTAATAATTTCGCAGCGGATTTTGGAAAACAAAATATGGGTGAATAGACAATTTAATATGTCTATTCACACTTTATTTCTTTTAATGTTTCCGATTTAAAGCCGTTCTGTCCAGGTGATTTTATTATTTTTCAAAGACATGATTTGATCAATAACTTCAGGATTATCAATAGGATGAAGAAAAAGAGAAGAAGGTAAAGTAGTTTTATGAAATGGGGGATAAAGAGGGGGATAAATATTTCTAGCTGTCATCTCCAATAGACACATAATAAGTATTAAATAAGTTAGCAATGTCACATGGATTTTCTATAATTTTGTTATTTTGTATTTTAATTTATTTCATACTGTCCGGTATATTGCTATTTCCCGGATTCATTTGCGGCCGGTAAGTGAGCTATTACAGTATCAGAGCCGGTAAATGTTGCCTAGCAACGTGATATTAGACATGTCACAAACAATATTATAAAATGACAGATCAAGCGATGTCAAACAAAAATTTGATTTAAGGAATATTATAAAATGACAGATCAAGCGATGTCAAACAAAAATTTGATAATTTTAAGGAAAAAATAGAAATTTCTGCTCGTTAAAAATAGAAAGACAGTATGAAATAAAATATCATACGATACACGGCTGTTAGGTGTTATTACAGTACTCGTTTTTATTCTGGACGAGGCTCCTACGTCGCCTCGTCCGTAAAACAACTCGTAATGTAATAAGTCACCTACCGGACTTGTAACGTAAAATACTATTTTCCTATTGAGTTGTCGTGCTTCATATTGTGTAAATGGTTAATCATAATTCCATAGTACCTTACTGTCTTTCTTATTATTATCTATATATTCAGCATAGAATTTTCTTTTTCTTTCTTTTATCAAACACTTTAATTTATTTCAATACAGTAAGTAATCTTCCCTCAAATTATTGTTATCTGGATAAGGTTTATGTAATGTGAATAATTTATCTCTTACGTGTATGGACCAAACAAGACCATCAGTAATCCAAGTTTTCCATTTGATATCAAAATAAATATATATTTATGATTAATTTTTTGTAACTTGAATATAAATTGATTTTTTCCTTCAACAAGTTAACAAGGAAGGGTAAGACATAAACACCCGTATGCACAGTCGATCGCCAGCGACTCGCCGAAGTTATAGCTGGTAATTCTCTGGCAAGTCGCTGGCGAAAGAACGGCGCGTAGTTTCTATTGCATAGACCAGGCATGTGCAACTTTATAAGTGTTGGGGCCAGAAAGTCATTTCGGGAAGTTTTGGCGGGCCGAAAGCAATAATAATAATAATATGATAATCAAAAAATAATTTATTTATTGCAATGTAATTTATAATACTAATATTCTTAAATAATGAAAAAAAAACATGAATTATAAACAAATAGCATGCAATGCAGCAGTTGAAACTAATGGGACCTCTGTGATTGCATGTTTTTTACAAGGCGATCAAAATTTGCAGATATATTAGATGTGGCGACGCGTATATTATTTTCTAAGTGTGTATCAGTAATTCTGGTCCTATTTTTGGATTTCACATAATTCAATTCAAAAAATTGTACACAAGAATACGTGCTTCCAAACTGAACCATTAGTCGTTGAATAAATTTAGAAAGTTCTGCATATTTCTGCTTTGGAAAATATTTTTGAAAAAACTCAACCAAACCTACATCTATAAATTTAT